GAACAAAAGTGCGCAAATAACAATTGAGAGATGCCCGCTCGCAATCACGATCGGAGGCCGTCACGCAAAGAGGAACGAGATAGATTCGCAGCACGTGGGTGCGCAGTTTACAGACGGCACATTGGGCGTTAAGAAGAGCGAACTGCGCTCAGGCGAGATCTACATCACGGCCAGGAGTGTTATCAGTGGTTGAGACTAGCAACGGAATGGCAGCTAAAGGAAAAGAGCACAGGAGGATGTCCACCGTATGAGATGAAATAGCCTCCCTTGCATTTTTGTTTGCGAGCAGCTAAGGCCACGCCAAAACACAAAGATCCCCCGTGTAGGCTTCAACAGACTGTTGGGACAAGCGCTGTTAGCGTGCACCTACGAAGGCCGACACGGCACACGAGGGGGTGGGTGGCCAGCACCACGCCCAGCCGCCTTTGTCTCCCCAGTGGCGATGTTTACACATCGCACCAGGTGCTCATTTGAGGCCGAGTCGACCTAGGGGAGGCCCAGAACCGGTCCAGATAATCGCCACACCGGTGTTGGCCGTGAGCGGGAATCGAACTCGGGAGTCTCTGGGTTCGTAGCACAGTGCAGCGCTAACCACTACACCGCCCCTCCCCACCACACGCACAAAGACGCACGTGCATTATTGGCACGCGTCCCTCTTCCTTCGCTGGGTCGACTTGCTCACTCCACGGCGTCGTCAACTCCGTGAACATTTTTGCACCTCCCCGAGGCCAAGAAGCTTCAGCGACGATAGAAATTCCAGTTGTGAGCGCAGGAAAACCATCAGCCCGTTCGTCACTCCCCAAAACCCCTCGCCCCGAAATCCGCCCCTTTGTTGTTGGAGTGAACAGTTGTGGCTCCCAACAGATTTCATGCATTATGGGGGGCGGGGGGGTTTGTTGTTGTCGCTGTTGTTTTTGTTTTGGGAAGCCGCGGGTTTCGACAGCTCCCGCCGGAGCCCCGCCGTGTAACCGTGGAGACGCAAGGCCGGTGATTTTATCCACGACGGTCAAAAATAAAAACTCGCCGAGGGTCGGCGATGGTAGGCAAATGGCGCCCCTTGGAAAGGAAAAGCGTGTTGATATAGGCGACGTTTCGGGCTGTGGCCCTTCGCCACGTAGGCCAGAGAAGTAAGAGTCTGGCCCGCTCGCTGTGTGTGTGTGTGTGCCGTGAGTGAGGAGGACCATCTGCCAGAAACGTCGCCTCTTTTATCCGTTTTCTTTTTATGACAGACGTGTTTGTTGTTGTTGTTCTTTGTGTTTGTTTGTGTTTGTGTTTTTGTTGCACCGCCGTCAACGCAGCAGCGGTAGCATCGCCGGGCAAATGTGTTGGTTTTAAAACACAGAGCAGCTTGAAATTCTCGCTGTTCTCGCGCGGTGCAAAGGAAAGCAAACATCAACATCATCAGCAGTGGTAACATCACCATCAGCACCATCATCAGCAACATCACCATCAGCAGCAGTGGTAACATCACCATCATCAGCAACATCACCATCAGCAGCAGTGGTAACATCACCATCAGCGGCAGTGGTAACATCACCATCAGCACCATCACCATCATCAGCAACATCACCATCAGCAGCAGTGGTAACATCACCATCAGCGGCAGTGGTAACATCACCATCATCAGCAGTAGTAACATCACCATCAGCACCATCAGCAGCAGTGGTAACATCACCATCAGCACCATCATCAGCAACATCACCATCAGCAGTAGTGGTAACATCAGCACAAGCAAAGGGATTTCCTTGCTGCTCAGAATTTAGCAATCGAGGCGTTGGTGCTTGTCTCCTGTTTGCAGCCCTGCTGAGCCAGTTGTGGAAATTCCACATTCCTGTGGCAGGGGCGAGTTTAACCATAGGACAGCCTCCCACAGCCCCCACCCCCCCCCCCCAAAAAAAAGGTACCTATTTGATCAACTCTGGTGGAGGGATGATGGGGCACAGTCAACCCACCAACCAGGATTTGAACTCATCACCTTCCGATTGCAAGCCGCTTGCTCTACTGCTGAACCACCTTAGTATCACACACTTCCTAAAGCCACCCAACTCACGGGAAGACTGCCAACGTTTAAACTCTTTTACCCCTACAACCGATTTTGAAGCCAAATATTTTACATTCCCCCCCCCCAAACATGTAAACCGATATGATTAGCTACCGCCTAAAGTATTGGCAAGTATGTATTATTATTATCCTCATCATCCTCATCAGCATCATCATCAGCAGCATCAAAAGCGGTAAGAACATTTGATATTGTGCACTCTCACGAGTACCAGTCCATCACGAATGTGCACTGACCGCACGTTGACGTAGGCTCTCTGAAACAACACTTTTGGCGGAACTGGCTCCCGACTCGGGGACGGATTCCCGAGACTCCGCTGAGGCGCATCGCGCTCCGAGGTGTACGTGCGGCGTCGCCGCGAGTCACCGCGGATCGTAGTCGGAGTCGATTTGGTGTCCGTTGAAGCCGGCACGCACCGATCGGCGGGATAGGACGGAGCAGATTGATGGAGACTTATTGAAGACGAGTAGCAACATCGTCGTCGGCTGACAGAGCGAAGCGCTGTCATCATCGGCAGCATGCGATGTCACGTGGGTATCGGGCGATCATCCCAATGCGAAATGCGACTCAATTGGGATGACACTCAGTGCTGGATTTATCCCAGTAGCACAAATAGCTACACATGTAGTAGTACTACACATGTAGTAGCTACACATGTAGTAGCTACACATGTAGTAGCTACTACACATGTAGTAGTAGCTACACATGCAGTAGTAGCTACACATGCAATAGTAGCTACACATGTAGTAGTAGCTACACATGCAGTAGTAGCTACACATGTAGTAGCTACTACACATGCAGTAGTAGCTACACATGTAGTAGCTACTACACATGTAGTAGTAGCTATACATGTAGTAGCTACTACACATGCAGTAGTAGCTACACATGCAGTAGTAGCTACACATGTAGTAGTACTACACATGTAGTAGCTACTACACATGTAGTAGCTACACATGTAGTAGCTACACATGTAGTAGCTACACATGCAGTAGTAGCTACACATGTAGTAGCTACTACACATGTAGTAGCTATACATGTAGTAGCTATACATGTAGTAGCTACTACATGTAGTAATAGCTACTACACGTGTAGTAGTACTATATTACTACAGTACTATACCGCCTTCAACTTTTACGAACGACTGGGTGTTTAATGTTAGCGATTTGTCGTATTATCTGGCTGTATAATAAATGAAAAAATACAATTACGTTACTGTGCCATTTAAAAAAAATTGTGTTTAAATATTTACGTGTTTTTATTTTATCTAGGGCCCCTTTCTAACATCATGCTGCAGGCCCCGCACTAGCTTCATCCGGCACTGACGACACCCACAGAGCAACGGCGCCCCAGACGGCACGTAACTTGGCAGATCTCTCCTCGAAACTGAGCCTCGAGACTCGGTGAGACTTTGCGGGGTAAAACAAAGCTAAGCGCGCGCGACATGATGTATTCATGACCGCGCCACGCTACCCGCCGTTCCTAGCTTCACGAGACAACGTTGGGTTATTATCCGCGCGCATTTATTTGAAAAATTTTGCGGATGTCCACGCGACGAAGGCAGACGCGCAGCGCGCCCACTTACAAATGTATTAGGACCAACGCCGGCCACCGTGTTCTCCCATAGAAGAAGCAGCAGCAGCAGCAGCGAGTTCGAGCGAAGCTTCCCAAACGTCGCGACGCACTAACAGAGTTCGGTGCGTCGTGAGCGCACGAATGCGTGGCAGTGTACTGTGATGCGTAGGCGCTCGCCAACAGCACTTGTGTGTGCGTGCGCGTTTGTGTAACCCCGCGACCCAAGTTCGATCCCCGCTCACGGCCAACGCCAGTGACGAACATCTGAACCGGTTCTGGGACCCTCCCCCCTAGGTCGACTCAGCCTTAAATGGGTGCCAGGCGCGGTGCGATGACAACGGCGTCGGAGCCTCGTGCTGGCCACCAACCCGTTCGCGTGCCGTTCTCGCCAACAGCACTTGCCCCAAAAGTCTGCCGAGGCTCCGGGGGGGGGGGAGGGGGGGTACCTTTGTCTTTGTATTACGACGTGTGCGTTTGTGTACGCTGGCTTGTCTTGCGCTTCACACGTGCGCTCGTGCACGTGTGCATGCGCGTGCGTGCGTGTGCGTGTGTGCGTGCGTGTGTGTGCGTGTGCGTGCGTGTGTGTGTGCGTGCGTGCGTGTGCGTGTGAAGCGAGCGTGCGTGTGCGTGCGTGTGCGTGCGCATGCGTGCGCGTGTGAACGCAGCGAAAAAATACTTTCACTTTTTCAACAAACTGTAGTGCGTGCACACGTGGGGCGTGACGCGTGTGCAGCGCCGCGCGCCACGTTCAGCCCAGGGGGCTCTTAAACCTGCGGGGCGCGCCCCGGTCGCCTGGCAGAGGATGGGGGGGGGGGTGCAGGAGTCTGCGGCAGGGATACCGTGCAGGAGAAATGTTAAAAAGGTGTGCGGGGAGCTTCGGCGCCGCGTCGCGGTGACAAAAACGCACACGGATGCGCAACGTGAAACACGTGACTTGCCAACACCACATTGACTAGAGAGAGGTGTGAATGTGTCGTAATATTTGTGTATGCTGTTCTTATCCACAATAGAAGTTTTTTTTTTGGGTTAGATCGTTAAACCCGCCACCACCGGCACAGCCAATTACGAGTAGAAGCACTAACCGGTGTGTTGGAGAGCAAAGCCACAACATTTACAATCTTGAGTAGGACGTTTCACCAGTAATTACAACTAGCTTCATCAATTAATCTTGTTGCAATTGCTGAAGCTAGTTGTAATTACTGGCGAAATGTCGTACTCGAATTGTAAATGTTGTGGCTTTGCTCTCCAACACACCGGTTAGTGCTGTACTCGTAACGAATTGGCCACGTTCTGTTTACGTGACAAACCGTACTAACTGGTGGTGTCGGGTGGTGGCGGGTTTAACGACACTTTGATATATTTACGTGATCTCACCAAAAAAAAACCCCTGTATTATGGATGATGTTGGTCGCGAAAGCCTACGTGTTAATACTGGTTTTAGTATGTATGTATGTTGAACTTCTTTCGCACCATACGTATTCAACCGTGCTGATCGAAGTAACTTTGGGGGGACCCTGGGAATTGTTGTCTGGATTGGGGGCCACAACACCAACAAGGCTGAGAACTACCGGGTTTAATAACAGCCACTACCATCGGCGTGAATCGCGATGTCTCATGTCTCCTCGTTCTTATGCTTCCTTGGGACACGACGAAGATCTCTTCCTCTTCACCACGAAAATCTTCTGGCCGGAGACGGTCAGCAAGTAGCTGTGATCTTCAAACATCACTGGGGGAAGAGGGGCACAATATCAAAGTGTTACCTTACAAAGCGGTGAACCATCTTGCCCCAGCCTACATCCTTTGGCATGCTGTACCCATACAGTATGTCCCCTCAAGGTCCCGAAGATGTCGGGATGCAGATCTTCAGGTGGAGGTTTCGGTCTATGGGTGACTGAGGTTTGTCCCGTGTAGCCCAACGGCTATAGAACGCTCTTCCACATGACATCAGATGGATCTCTCCGAGTCTGTGGACATTTTTTTAAATGCGCCTCAAAACGTATTTATACGCTTCTGCTTATTAAACTTTAAGTTCATTTAGTAAATTATTCTTAAAATGTATGTATATTATTGTTATGCTGAGTGTCTGCTGCTGCTGTGTCCTGTACAGAGCTTCGAGATCCTTGACGAGAAGCCGCGATATAAATGAAATTATTATGATTAATCAGGGCTCACGTGCTCACGGCAACAAGATTTAAAAGTGTGACTTCCTGCTCGGAGGAGAATCGGAACAGTGCCCCATCTCCTAGGCACACCCCCTGAGCCAGTCATGGGAATTCTTCCTTCCAATGACGGCTGCACGTAGGAGGCCTGATCGTGCAGGCAGTAATGGGAAGGAAACTGTCACCATATGGACACACGTGTAGGATGGACAACAGCAGGAAAATTTAAAGTGTGGTGTTTTGGGAAAAATGGAAGGAACCGGACGGAGAGGAAGACCTGACAGAGAATAAATTCACGGCGGCGTAAGAGATTGGTGCCAGAAAGATGTGGCACTATTCAAGCTGTATTGGCACGAGACAGAGGCAAGTGGAAAAAATATCAAGTGTGCAGTGGATACCTACAGGGCTATCTGCCCCGTGGATCGCGATGATGATGATGAGAGTCTATCCATGGGAAAAACGTTGCATTTCCCCATAAAGTCAGTGCCGGATTATCCTGGTAGCACAAGTAGCTACACATGCTACAGGCCCCACACTTTCAAGGGCCCCGCGCTAAATGCTTTCAAGCTATCAATTCCGGTTCAGTGATTCTGCACTTGCTCTATTACTATAGTACTACACCGCCTTCAACTTTTACGAACGACTGGGTGTTTAAGGTTAGCGATTTGTCGTATTATCTGGCTGTGTAGCAAATAAAAAAATAAAATTACATTACTATGCACGTAAAAAATGTGTGTTTTAATATTTCCGTGTGTTTTTTATTCATGGCACCTTTATAACATCATGCTACAGGCCCCGCACTAGCTTCATCCGGCACTGCATAAAGTAGTACTGATTTTATCGCGTTCCCGAGGGATGATAGGGGCCGAGTCAACCCCCAAAACCTCCTCCCTCCCAACTAGGGTTTGAACTCACAACATTCGAATTGCGAGCCGCTCACTATACCAGCTGAGCCGAATCGCCGGTTTAAGATTCGCAGGGGTCAATGAATGAAATTTACATGGCAGTAAGAAAAAGTGGGATGACATCTTGACCCTGGTAGGGTAAACAGAAAGGGTACAGGCGCAGCCCTGCAATTGCTTGGTCACGCCACTGCTGAAATAAGTGCCTCCACTAGCCAGAGCTCTAAGAGAGCCCCTCTAGAGGGTTTTTTTTTGGCCTACTCTTCCATGCTTGAAAGAGGCGTGAGTAGACCACACTTTACACCTTAACCCACCACCACACGCATCCTGCCAAATCGGCTAACTGCGGTGAACCCATACAACAAAAACGATCGAAGTGCAAAGGTAGATCAATGGCATCGCTATCAAGCCATATAGTTTACCCGTGTTCTTGTACAGGGAAATCGCGGTTTTCAGGTTCATACTGCGGACAGCCGTTTCATTACGGGCAACACATTTTATTGTCTATTTGTGTGTGTTTCTCCCTTGTGATGGGACCTTGTAGGATGAGCGTTGAGACTCATAAGGGGCACGGGGTGACCAATACGGTCTGAATGGGCCTCTAATAAGGTAGGGCACTGACAAGGGGTTGACAGGTACATAGTGGTAAGATGTTAAACATGATTCTTCTTCTTTGGTTCTTTCGGTAAAAGTCACGTAGAATGAGAATACAATAATAAATTGATATAGTATAAAATAACACAATAAAATCTAAATAAAATACTAAACAAGAATTTAAAAAAATAACAAGCCGCTGCGGCAGCGTCGCCGGACGCCCCCTGGAAGTGGGCGCGGTCGTAAAACGTTCCCGTTGACGCCGGGCTTGTTAACGACGGCGACGACGAGAGGCCTGGGCCGCGGCGCCGCTGTCGGCTGGCGGATCATCGCGCGTCACCCGGGGGGGAAGACGATGTCGGGGGGAGCCGCCGCTTCAATCGCCCTCGCAGGCGCAACGCCGAACGGCGACCCCCTCCAACCCCCCCCCCCCCCCCCCGCTTCTTCCGCCCCGCAGATGGCCGATCGCCACGCGTCGGTGGTCGTCCGATGGAGAGTACGGCTTTAAAAAAAAAACAAAAAGACGAACACGTTTTCGCTGTCAAGCGTTGGGCTCTCACCAAAGCGTTGAGACACTTAAGCGCAGGCCGACAGATGCTTTGCTGCTGCCGCATGCGCACGCATGTGCACGTGCGTGAGCAATCGTTGTGACAGCGGTGAACAGGTACCTGGGCTTCTGCTAGGTCGACTCGGCCTTAAATGAGTATCTGGTGCGGTGTGTACAACAAAAAAACCACATCAGCACTCTGGAGACAAAGGCGGCCGGGCGCGGCGCTGTCCACCCACCTCCATCATGTGCCCTGCCGGCCTTCATTGGTGCTCGCTAACAGCCACTTGCCGTTTGTGGCTGTGCAGGAAACTTCAAACGAGGCATACTTGAGATCCTGGCTTCATCCCGGGTGGGATTTGAATCTCTGCTGTGCTGACTTCGGTATTCTGTCACTCTCTCTGAAAGCACCCCCCCACTCCCCCCCCCCCCCCGAGCGAGAGTGGGACAATCTAAGCCACCGGCACGATATTTAACCACGCTGAACCGTTATCCGCACAGCATCGATAGGGGTAGTTTCATTTGTTGTTGTTGTTGAACCGAGTGAGAAGTCAAGAGACCAGAGGTAGGAGAGTGGAGGGGAGTAGAGTGAGATGAGAGGGGAGAGGTAGGCGAGTTTTCTTGATGTTTTCTTGTTCATGTTTTTGTTTTTTTGTTTGTTGCGGTTGCACCCGATTCAAGAGCCGAATGGCTCACAGGGCTACACCAAATCAATGAAACTATGAAACTATGAGTGTGAAGGGAGTAGAGTGAGATGAGAGGGGAGAGGTAGGCGAGTGTGAAGGGAGTAGAGTGAGATGAGAGGGGACAGGTAGGATAGTGTGGGGGGGGGGGGGGTGTAGAGCGAGATGAGAGGGATCTTGAAGACGGCAAGTCGTGCAATCTTGAAATTGTTCCCGGAGTGTCGCGGCGACGCGGTCTCGTGTACGCGCGCAGGTGAGGAGGAGTGTCACAGCGGCATTGTGCGGCTCACTCGGAGTTTGGGGGAGCGGCAATATTTGCTTGCAGATGCGAGGGAGCTGCGAGCGGCACTCCTGGTAGCGCCCTAACGCAGTTCCAAGGGGGGGGTGGGGGAGCACGAGGCTCGCCGGGCGTGCACGGCAGAGTTCAGTCGTCGCTGCTGTCGGCACCGGGCCCCCCATCCCCTTCCGTTCCCGGTTTGCGGAACCGGATTCCGTTATCGGCGCTCGGCGCAATCTTGGCAGCTGCCATTAACGAGCCGTGACACCGAGTGGGTGGCTGGCAACGCACCACCACCACCACCACCACTACCCCCCCTCCCCGGTGTTGTTTTGCAACATTCGATGGGGGGGGAGGGGGGTGAGAGATAGGAGCTGGCGAGAGAGGCGGCTCGTCCCCTCCGCCGGGTGGCCATGAGCCAGCGGTGGCAATTTCCACATTCTCACGGCGGGCGGACGGCCAGGCTGTCCACGGCGGGCGGCTAACCGTCGACTTGATCCACCGCATGGCGCGTGATCGGCCGAGTTGGGCCACAATACCGGGACCTGATTGCCATCCACCGCACCATTACGAATGGCCACGCCAGCCGGCTAATCGTGGCCGGTGTAGTGCCGTGCACCTCAAGCGGTCCGCCTCCTTAACCTCCTTTCGTTCCTCGCTCAAAGCCTCACCTCTTCTCCATCCTTTTCCCTGTCCCTCACCCCTCCACTCATTCCCGTCCCTCCCCTGTAGCCCTTTCGTGACCCATGTGTGTCTTCTGTTACTCATTTCTCGGCCCGCGCACGCCCTTGCCATCTAAACCACTCGAGTTTTTATTACGGGTTTTTTGTAATTATGTAAAGCGATTTGAGCTCAGGCGCTCTATAAATATAAGATGAGATGATCAGGATGATGCCGTGATTGGGCGCCGCGGTGGCTAGGAGATGTTAACTCCCTCGCCTGGTATGCCGGAGGCCGTCGGTTCGATCCCGACTCTGACGCCTGCTGTATATTCGGAGTTTGCGTGTCTCTCTCTCCACGTGGTAGTGTGGATTCTTCTCAACGTCACGTTAGACTATTTGGCTGCTGTTAATGTCCACGTGATGAGCCACTTCGTTGGGCTATCATTTGTGGCTAGGTCGCTTCTGAAAAACAGCTGTATAGCTCAGTGGGCCTCACCTGGTAAAATAAAATAAAAAAATATAAGCTTTATTTTTCGACAGCGCAACGGTTGGCACAACTCTAGTCGGCCACCAGTTGGATCTCCCGGCGCGGCAGCTGAAACGACGGCGTACGTTTCTTAAAATCCCCCGCCGGTTTTGTCCACTCGGCAGTACACACGGGATGCACCGCGGTCGGCTAGGCAGGTCACGTGCGGTTGGGTTCAAGTCTGGGTTCTCGATACCTCTTCCAAGACGGCTGGCTCTCGTAAGAGACGCCCTCGGCACAGCAGTGGCGTGATCAAGCAATTGCAGGGGCTGCACCGTTAGCTGTTGATTATCTACTCCGACAAATGACTGCATTTGATCACTTACAATCGAGTGGTCATTTTATTGCTGCATCGGGTGTTCCCTGTCAAAGTCTC